GCATTGTAACCAGAAAATCTAAAACAATATTTAAATACAGTTTTTTCTTATAGATATTTTTAGTTCAAATTTGAATGAAATTAGATATTTAAACGAAATTTAACGATTGTTGATATTAAGTTAAAAATATTATTCGTTGTTACTTGAATTTTTTAACGTATATTATTAAGTTGTATACCTATACACACAATACCATTAACTGGGTTGGTGAAATCGGCGATTAGTAAATTATATCCCCCCGGCTCCAATTCCCATATAATAGAATTTTATATTATAATTAGTTTAAATATTTTTTAATTATAATACATTATGCACAGTAAGTTGCTTAATATAAATAAAGAGTTGCGATTATTACATTTATACAATTTCAACTTTATTATTAGTTATTAATTTGCCTATACAAGTATTGAAGTATAAAAATAAATGAATGTTTTAATTTATTATATTTGTATTATAACTAACAAGTAAGAATATTAATAAGTAAAAATTTAAAATTATTGCAATGCAGTTTATTATATTGTTGTGGATCTGTGTACCATAAATTATTCCAGCACCCCTACACTCATACCTAATGTGAGCCTATGTAATGGGCCCCCAGATTAAATTTGCACCGGGGCTCATCTAGTCAGATGACACTGTTAAAACCCAAGGATTACTTAACTCCGTGTTAAGTTAGAATTTGCTAATTTGCAAAAATAAAAAATTCCAGACACAATATGATAATTAGATGAAAAATACTTTTAAGATTTAAAATGATACATCAAAGTAAAAACCTCATGAAAAAATATGCATTATTTTTCGGACGAAAATTATCTTAATTTAGATACTTTTGAAAAAAAATTAACTTGAAGTAAACACTTTATTCTTGAAAAAAAGTAACTTAATAAGTTAAAAGTTAATTTGAAAAAAAAAGTAACGAGCTAATTAAGTTAATTAAAATTAACTCAACGTTTTACTAAATTTTAACTTTTAACTCGTTAATGAACAGCCTTATTGTCATCACCCTCATAGCTGAAGATCGAAGTATTTTTTTCACTACCTATATACATAGTATTACCTATATACAATCACCGCCTGAAACACACACTCAAAAAAACACAAAAACACACAACTATTTAAAATTATTACCTTCATCGATTCACTCAGAAAGTCTAAATTAATAAGATGCAAAAAATGCAATAATATGTTATGCTCACTATATTATACTGAGTCACGTGAAAAATATCTAAACATGAGCTAATGGTCCTCAATGATGAATTAGTGGACCATGATTGATAAATTACATTGTATTAAATCAACTTAAATTAATTGTAATATTGTTCATGCGACATGGAAATAGTCACATAATTAATTAAATTACTATAATACAGTGTGTAATAGATGGAACCGACTTTTAGAATAACTTTTTTTCAAATCAATATTTAAATTTTTTTTCTTTTATAATATAACTAGCAGGTGTTACCCCGGCTTCGCCCGGGTTGCGACCATACGAATATTTCACTTTGAATTTTTTTTTTCTTAATAAACGAAGAAATCGGTTTGGTTTTTATTTTCTCAATACAAGTGGAATTGCCTTTGATGTAAACGGGTTGATATATACGCTCTAAATTTGACCTTTCGTTTTTCCTCCTTTATGAGCGTTCTTTTGAACTACTTAATCGACTGATCCAACATTTTTCACTTTTTCGATGTTTTTGAAAAATTACTTCTTCCATTAGTTTTCTTTTTTTGAACTATTTTAGCTGACACCGCGTTGTTTCACTTTTCGCTATATTCTTTTTAAAATACGGATTAGACCGAATACGTACCATTAAAAATACAATTTAACGATTTTGGCGGTTCAACTTAAAAATTATTAATTCTTAAATATTGCTATAAAGTTCAGTTGTGTATAATTGAAATGATTATGCCATCAAATCATGCGGAAAAATAAAATATGCTCTAATGCTTCTTGATCTCTTTGTCTGTCGATATTTCTAAAAGTAAAAAGAGAATAAAAGAAAAGACCGTAAGTAATTTATTTTGGAAAAATTTTTTTTTGTTTATTAGAAATTGTTTCTTAAATTTATTTCAAATAAATATTTCGTATTAATTTTAGTCTTCCATTTTGGAAGTGCTTGGTTTCGGTTCCTCTTTATTATATTTTGTTAAATACCAATCATGAAAACTGTAATTTAATGTTTAATTAATGAGGATTTTTGAATTTCATTGTTTTAACTTTTAATCGTTGGTCACAAATTTACCTTTTTATTTTAGAAGTTTCCACATGGTAAGTTATAACTGATGACTGTATTAATGCCAAACATTTTTTTTCTCGATATTCGTTAACTTTCGCTTTTTCTATTGTTATTATTGTGTCCTTGTCTGCAATAAAATTGTCTGCATTTTCATTCCATAAAGTCAGTGTAATCTAGAACATGAGGATTATTAATATTTATTGTGATTTTTTATTCTGATTTACACTTGCCTCATCACTGTTATCAATTAGTTGTATCTCTTTTTTTTTTAAATTCCCTTCCGTCTTTTGCAAATACTGTATCAGTGTCTCCGATATTTTCGACGACTGCAATGACATCTGAAAGAATTATGTTTAAAATCTTTTCTTTTTTTTTCTATGATTACAACGTTTTTAATTTTTATTATTCTTACTTATTATTGTTTGATTTTCCTGATTTAAAATCTTTCCAATTTTTGTATACATTGGTTCATCTAATTCTTCAATGTCTTTATTTCGTTCTAGACACTCTTCTCTTATTCTGAAATAATCATTCATTAATGTTTTCTATAATTTGTTTTACAAATATAACTTATAAGTATTGAAAATTGTAGTAAATTTTTAATATCAAAATAGAATATGATTAATATCATTAAATAGATTTATATACATACTTTGTCGCTTCTGGAACGCCGGGATTTATCGACATTCTAGATGAATTGATTAAAGTTAAATTTTTAGTGTAATTATACTCTCCAATTTTGGCATTTTTAATTGCAATAATATCCTCTTTTTTTCCTTTGAATTCATTGATTTTTTCATTCCATAAATTTAAAGTTATCTGAAAAACGAGATATAAAAGTACGAAATAAAAACAAATATAAAACCAGAATATAAGTGGTGGTATCATACTTTTCTGTTGTTTTCATCTATGAGAATTATTTCTTTTTTCTCATAGTGATCACCGTGTACGGATGTTATGTTTTCGGTGTCCTTAATTTGTTCTATTTTGGCAATAACGTCTAAAAAATAAACATTATTATTTTACTGTTTGCATATTCGAGTACTTGAGAATCTTACCTATAATAGTGTTTTTTGCTTTATTATACATCATATTAAATTTAACAAAATCGTAGCCTTCTTCTTGGTCTCTGCTTATTTGAATGTAAATATCATCTTTTTGTTTTTTTCCTGTTTTGTCGTACCATTGTGTTAATCTGCACAAACAATTTGCTATAGTTTTTTTTTATCCCATTTCAATTTCTTTGGATATTTTACCTTTTTGCTTCCTCAATATTGGAATTTATTAAAGTTATTGAAGGGTGACTCAAATTTTTGACCCCATAGTAATCAAATACTTGAACATTTTTTAATATTATTGAATCGTTGACAGTTCCTTCAAAATTGTCAATTTGTGGAGTATCCCATAATATAAGTGATATCTAAAAGTAATAAGATCATTTAGTTTTAAAATTCTATCAGATTGAATTTTTTTACCTTGGATTTTGTGTCGTCAATTATCACAATTTCTTTTATTTTTAAAATTGCTCCTTTGGCAGTTGTTGAAGTTTGCACTTTACCGATATGTTTGATGATTCCAATTATATCTAAAAATTTATTTTATTAATTGTTTTTAGTACCTCAATATTCTTTATGCGCCGGATTACCTATTGTTTGATCTTTGTTGACATCAGCTAAATTTTTTAATTTAATGAATTCGAATTCCATTTTTTTTATTGTACTGATATCTTTTTCTATTTGTTTTATTTCAGATTTGTCATTCAACAATATTTTAAATTCATGTCCTAAACGATTATAATTTGTATTCACTTTTTTTAATATCCCATTTGATATAGAAAAAATTTTTTTAATCTGAAAAATCAATATATTACATATTATGTGTGTTAATCCATTTAAATAATAGCTGGTGATTTTTTCATAATAATTAGTTTTATTTACTTCAAACTGATCGTAAAATTTGTCAACCATCGGGCCAAATGCCACGCATCGAATTTCAGCACTTTCATCAATTAAATCTACATTGAATACTTTACTCTCCCCTTTGGCATTTCTAAATATGCGGACGTTGGATTTATTTGTAACTCGCCCTTTAACTTTCCATCTAAATACCCAATATTGGAGTTCAATGTAATTAAAGATTTAATAAACAATTTAATAAATAAAATCTTACCCGTTTGAATTGGCAACCAGTGATGCTATTTTCATTGTATCATCATCTGTATTATTAATCTTTTTATTTTTTTGTTCTTCGGTATTGTTAATATCATGACTTCTCTTCATGTTAAATATTTTTATTATATTTGTATTTTTTATTATGCTCGTAGTGGCTTATAAACAAACTTTTTCCATAGATCGAATAAAAATTCAAATAAATAAATAAATAAATAAATAAATAATATCCAACCTTCAAACCATCTGGCTGTTAGACTAGAAGAACATTAATTTATACTAGATATAAATTTTCCGAGAAAAAGTCTGTAAATTTAATCAATGTGAGTATATATTCTAAAAAGTATCAAAAAATACTAGGGAAATTCGTTTAGTATTTATCAAAATTTGGATATCTTTATGGTCAAACTTGTGCAATTTGTGTGTCATGACTCTAAAACAAGTCATTTAAATTATTTTTCGTAATTAATAGAATAAAACATAAGCGGTTAAACGCACAAATGGTTAAACGAAAAAAAATATCGGAAGACAATCACAAATTGTAAAAAAATATAAAAAACACAAAAATTCAATAACAATAAAGAATGAGGACATTATGCCAGAAGATGTTGACAATGCGCAAGAAGATAATACACAAATGAAATTAATAAGTAAACGCACCAAAGAAAGAATGAAGAAAGCTAAAAAAAAATTAGAAAATGAAGCATTTTATTATGATCCAACTATTTCTTACGATGATGATCCTCGCGTGTCAATTGGTCTCTTAAATGTTGAATGTGAATACTGTCAAGCATTGAAATTTAAAGATGAGCCTAATGGCATATGTTATGGGAATGGTAAAATAAAACTCCCACTTTTGAATAATCCTATAGAACCATTGCTTTCATATTTGGCTGGAACTTCCAATGAATCAAAACACTTCTTAAATAATATTAGAAAATATAATTCAAGTTTCAACATGACCTCATTTGGTGCAGATAGAAAAAAAGAACCAGGGTATCAAACAACTTTTAAAATTCAAGGGCAAGTTTATCATAGAATAGGGTCGCTTCTACCTCTTGATGGTAAATCATCTTATTTACAAATATATTTCATTGGAGACAATGAAATTCAATCAAAACAAAGATGCGATGTTATTCCAAATGTCAATGCCAATATTATTGAATCAATCCAACACATTTTACACGAACACAATGAGTTGATAAAAATCTTCAAATCTGCGTTAGAAAACATGCCAACAGATGAATGTAAAATAGTTTTAAAAGCTGACAAAATACCTACAGGAGAACACGAACGATGCTTCAATTTACCAACAATAAACGAAGTAGCAGCAGTTATGAATGGCAATGAATTCAAAAAACGTGATATTATATTACAGAAACGGAGTAATGAATATATGAGAGTTCAAGAGACTCATAAATCTTATGATGCTTTACAATATCCGTTAATGTTTTGGAGGGGTGAAGACGGTTATCACTTTGAATTAAAACAAATAAATCCAGCAAGTGGTTTAAATACAGATAAAAAAGTATCAGCAATGGATTTTTATGCATATAGAATAATGATAAGAAAATTCCCGGAAAATTTTTTACTCCGTTATAATCAATTATTTAATCAATTCATCGTTGACATGTATGCAAAAATAGAAAATGAGCGTTTACGTTTTATACGATTTAATCAATCAAAACTCAAGGTTGATCAATATATTCATCTAAAAGACGCATTTGAAAATGATGGAGACCTTGAAGATATAGGACAAAAATACATTTAACCTGCAAGTTTTATAGGCAGTCCTAGACATATGCATGAGTACACACAAGACGCTCTTTGTATAGCGCAAACAAAAGGAAAACCTTGCTTATTTATGACATTTACTTGTAACGCTCAATGGCCTGAAATAACAGATAACTTGTTACCCCATCAGCAAGCAAGAGATAGACATGATTTAGTGGCGAGAGTATTCAAATGTAAATTGAAAAAATTGATGGACTTATTAACAAAAAGCAATATATTTGGCGAAGTTGTAGCATGGGTTTATTCCATAGAATGGCAGAAAAGGGGATTACCACACGCACATATTCTAATATGGTTGAAAAATAAAATACACCCAGACCAATATGATAACATAATTTCAGCTGAATTACCAGATCCAGAAAAAGACACATGATACATGGACCTTGTGGAGAATTAAATGTCAATTCACCCTGTATGAAACAAGGGAAATGCAAATGTAATTATCCTCGAGCACTGATTAATGAAACAAGAACAAATTCTAAAGGATATCCATTGTACAGAAGAATTAGTATAACGGATGGTGGTTTTAAAACTACTATAAAAATGAGAATGATGAATGGTAAATATAAACCAGTCGATGTAGATAACAGTTGGATTGTTCCTTACTCTCCACTTGTTTCAAAAATAATGAAAGCACATATCAATCTTGAATCATGTAGTTCAGTCGTTGCAATAAAATACATATTGAAATACATTCACAAAGGGAGTTATCAAGCAATGTTTACAATCGAAAATAAAAAAGATGAAATTGAAGACTATCAATCTGGAAGATACATAAATAGTAATGAAGCAATATGGCGAATTTTAGGTTTCCCGATTCATGATCGATATCCATCTATATTTCATCTTAGCGTACACCTTGAAAATGGACAACGGGTTTACTTCTCAGATGAAAATATAGAAAAAAAAGCTCAACAACCACCAGAAACCACATTGACCGCCTATTTTAAATTATGTACATTAGATAATTTTGCCAAGACATTATTTTATTACGATGTTGCGAAATATTATACATGGGATAATTCAAGTAAAAAATTCAATACGAGAAGGCAAGGAAGTCCAGTTAATGGATATCCTAATATCTATAAAACTGACACTATAGGTCGAATGTATACAATACATCCAAATAACCCAGAATGTTTTTATCTACGAATATTATTACATAATGTACGTGGTCCAACATCATTTAAAAACTTAAAAAGTGTTGATGGTATTGAATATGATACATACAGAGAAGTATGTCAAAAACTTTTATTACTTAAAGATGATAAACACTGGGAAGATGCATTATCAGAAGCAAATGACACAAAACGATCAAGTCAAATAAGATCGCTTTTTATAATCATTTTGACATCATGTGTCCCATCAAATCCACAGCAATTATGGGACAAATTTAAAAAAAATATGAGTGAAGATATATTATATCGAAAACAAAAATTGAATATGTGTGAGAATTTAGATTATACAGATGAAATCTTCAATGAAACTCTCATAATCATAGAAGATGGATGTTTGTTAATATCTGGAAAAATTTTAAAACAATGGGGACTGTCTTCACCGAATCGAATACAAAATACATCACTCCCGACAGAAATCTTACGTGAAATATTATACAACGTCACAGATTTAAATACACATATCAATAAAAATAAATCGCAGCTAATCGATGATCAAAAAGAGGCATTTGAAGAAATTATGGATATTATTAAAATAGACGAAGGAAGCTTAATTTTTTTAGATGCACCAGGAGGTACTGGAAAAACTTTTATATTAAATTTAATATTAGCGGAAATACGAAAGAAAGGAGAAATTGCATTAGCAGTAGCTTCTTCTGGAGTAGCAGCAACTTTATTACATGGTGGACGTACTGCCCATTCAGCATTGAAATTACCTCTGAATTTAAATTTAACAGAGGAGCCTTATTGTAACATTATAGATAATCCTGCTACTTGTAAATTACTTAAAAATTAAAAATTTATAATTTGGGATGAATGTACGATGGCCCATAAAAAAGGTCCAGAGGCATTGCATAAAACTTTACAACATTTGAATAACAATAAATATATAATGGGAAAAGTAGTGGTTATTTTAGCAGGTGACTTCCGACAAACATTACCGGTAATAACACATGGAATACCTGCTGACCAAATTGATGCATGTTTGAAAAAATCTTATCTTTGGAAACATACAAAGATAATAATGTTAAAAAAAAAAATGAGAGTATTTTTAACAGGTGATCCTACACTATCAACTTTTTCAGAACAATTACTACTTCTTGGTAATGGGAAATGGAAGGAAGATTCGGATGGTACTGTGGAATTTCCATCAAATTTTTGCAATATTGTAAAATCAATTGAATCTTTAAAAACTCATGTATTTCCTGATATGCAAAAAAATTATATCAATCATGAATGGATATGTGAAAGAGCCATACTTGCACCGACAAATAATAAAGTAGATGATATTAATAAAGATATATTAAACTCTCTCCCAGGAGAAAGTAAAATATATAAATCAATTGATACCGCATGCAATCCCGAAGATTCAATACACTATCCAATGGAGTTTTTAAATTCTTTGACAATACCAGGTTTACCTCCTCATATATTAACTTTAAAAATTGGAGCACCTATCATGATTTTAAGAAATATTAATCCACCTAAATTATGCAATGGAACCCGTTTAAGTGTAAAATCTTTGAAAAATAATGTAATAGAAGCTACAATATTAACCGGATGTGGAAAAGGTGAAGTCGTATATATACCAAGAATACCTATTAAACCCAGTGATGTGCCGTTTGGATTTGAGCGATTACAGTTCCCGGTAAAACTTGCATTCACCTTCACCATAAATAAATCTCAAGGTCAATCATTGAAATGTACGGGACTTCTGCTTGATCCTATGTGCTTCTCTCATGGACAGTTATATGTAGCATGTTCAAGAGGCGGTGACCCGAAAAATCTCTACATTTATTGTCCGAATGGAAAAACAAAGAACATCGTATATCCTCAAGCATTAAAATGATACAGATTATTATATAATTTTTACAAATAAAAAAATACGATATCGTTCTTATCGATCATGCCATCTTTTCATTTTTGTATTTGTATTTTGCTCGTATTGGCTTATAAACGGACAGTTTCCATAGAAACATAATAATTATAAAATATACATTAAAATATAATATTATACATGCAGTCGTCTCGACCTGGTGACCGAGAAAGACATCGAGTGGGTTTTTCATGTCGGTTCTGACCTTCCTCAGATGTAGCTGAATATCTATGTTGAATTTCAAGTCAATCGGTCGGGTAGTTTTCGAGATCATAAGGATAATAGAAACCGCCACTTACTTTTATATATATAGATAAAATGATACAGATTATTATATAATTTTTACAAATAAAAAAATACGATATCGTTCTTATCGATCATGCCATCTTTTCATTTTTGTATTTGTATTTTGCTCGTATTGGCTTATAAACGGACAGTTTCCATAGAAACATAATAATTATGAAATATACATTAAAATATATACATGCAGTCGTCTCGACCTGGTGACCGAGAAAGACATCGAGTGGGTTTTTCATGTCGGTTCTGACCTTCCTCAGATGTAGCTGAATATCTATGTTGAATTTCAAGTCAAAATAGTTTTCGAGATCATAAGGATAATAGAAATATAATATAATATATATAAAAGTAAGTGGCGGTTTCTATTATCCTTATGATCTCGAAAACTACCTGACCGATTTACTTGAAATTCAACATAGATATTCAGCTACATCTGAGGAAGGTCAGAACCGACATGAAAACCCTATTTGATGTCTTTCTCGGTCACCAGGTCGAGACGACTTCATGTATATAATATTTTAATGTATATTTTATAATTATTATGTTTCTATGGAAACTGTTTGTTTATAAGCCACTCAGTGGCGGAATTATGGTGCTATATCCTCCCCCAGAAGCCTTTTTTTTAGAATAACCATAATTAAATTCCCGTAAGCACTTGGTTTTAAAAGATTTTAAGATAAGAAATATTTTAAAATGAGAAATAAGAATTCATGGATATTATCATAGTTGAGATTTTTTTATTTTACTAGTATCTATAAAACTACGATAGTTCAATAATTACAATATATGACAAGACAATTGTTCCTACAGCTCACGAAGTAAGATACAATGGACTGGAAACGACATGGTCGGGGGGCTCGGAGGACGGTCACGAAAAGGTGTGCTTTGCCTTTTGTACATATATTCTTAGCCTATTTCGTAGCCGTTATGCTTGAATGGACTTACAATGTTATCAGTGCATCGGGACATTAATAAGTTGAACCCCGATGACTTACTGCATATTTTGGCGAAAAAAACAAAAAGGAAAATTGACTTGATATAATAATTTATGAAAAATTTAAAATACATTTAAGGCGCCCAGTGCCGATGCCATTTTGTCCTCAAAAATACACTCTGTGGGAATAACGATACCGCCTCATAGAACCAACCACATTTCATATTTTTTTTTAATTACTAGAGGGGAATATTCTTTAGTCCACATCGATCTCTATTTTTCAATATTTTATTCTCAAACTTTATAATATGCCTAGAAAAAAAAGAGATAAAAAACATTTTTTTACAAATTTTTTAGTACATTTATTTGAAATAAAATACAAAATCAGAGATCGATGTGGCCTGTAGGAAGTCTTTTTCTTTCAGATAAAAAAATAGTCATCAAAATCCGACAATTCTACAAAGCCTGAGAGTTATTCCCGTGAAGTAATTTTTTTCGATATAATACACCCTTTTTAAACCCCCCTAAATAGGTATCGGGTAGTAGACTAGTGGAAAAGTATAATAATTGAGGTGGAAACTAAAATATAAAATTTAATTTCCTAATTTTTTAGAATTGCGGCAAATTTGAAAAACTTACCGGGGTCATTAATTGTTTACTTTATTGTCTTTGAAAACCATTATTATACTATTTACCTCATTTTATTTAAAATAATAAATTAATATAATATTTTGACATATGAGATTTAATGGTCAAGGGGGTATGGGGGTATAGCCTGCCCCACTAGAACGATAATATAAATGTATATCCCACCCCAGAACTAATTCCAAATTACGCCACTGAAGCCACTACGAGCAAAATAAAAAATACAAAAATGAAAAGAAGGCATGATAAGAACGATATCGAAGAACAAAAAAATAAGATTAATATAGGAAAAGTTAATGAATAATTATTGCAGAATAAGAGAAGAGTGTCAAAAACAAGATTTTTTGTTGTTTTGATTTAGTTTATGGTGTTCTTTGGTATGGTGGATTATTTAAATGGGTATAAGGTATATAAGGTACCTATACCATCAGAAAAGGCTTGAATTAAGTTTTCCAATAGTGTATTTGAGTACTCCAAGTTTTTGACATGCTTCTTTGTATGTATCATATTCAATACCATCAACACTTTTTAAATTTTTAAATGATGTTGGACCACGTACATTATGTAATAATATTCGTAGATAAAAACATTCTGGGTTTACTATTTATGTATCTTCCAGATTGATAGTCTTCAATTTCATCTTTTTTATTTTCGATTGTAAACATTGCTTGATTACTCCCTTTGTGAATGTATTTCAATATGTATTTTATTGCAACGACTGAACTACATGATTTAAGATTGATATGTGCTTTCATTATTTTTGAAACAAGTGGAGAGTAAGGAACAATCCTACTGTTATCTACATCGAGTGGTTTATATTTACCATTCATCATTTTCATTTTTATAGTAGTTTTAAAAGCACCGAAAATTTTGTTAAGAAAATAAAAAAAAAATAACATTACCAAACTGAATTCTTAATTTATTAAAAAAAAAAAATTCAAAGTGAAATATTCGTATACCCTTCCTCAGATGTAGCTGAATATCTATGTTGAATTTCAAGTCAATCGGTCGGGTAGTTTTCGAGATCATAGGGATAATAGAAACCGCCACTTACTTTTATATAATATAAATATATATATATATATATTATATAGATTTATAAACACTTGCCCTAGAAAATATATTGTACAAAAAATTATTTTAAATTTTAACACTGAAAATAAAAGATTTAAAATTTAATTAAAATTTTTTTTTGATATACCTATTTAAAATAGCCAATTCGTGAATCTGATTATAAGAACAATTTTGATAGTAAAAACATTTATCCAAGTCAAGTAGCTTTTTGTCTAGAATTTTTTTAAATATCTAAATTTTTTTGATTAAATTAATTTTTAACTTTTTTCAAAATATTTTTGTTGGGGAATTTGCTGACATGAGTATCTTTCTTAAATTATTTACTAATCACGTAATTTTAACAATTTTTCCATACGTTTAAGTATATCATTTTTTTTTTCGTAGATTAACACTTTCTGTTACACCCTATATACTTAAAAAATATTGCTTAGCTATATTATTTCAAATAATTTTCTGCTTCACGCCTTTAAAGATACTTTACTTTTTTACAGGTCTTCAATTTTAGATTCTGAGCGGAGCGCTTATGAATGTATTGGTTTTATATATTCTATATTTTAAGTTGGACCAAATCACCCACATTGAGCATAATCTTATCAAAATCGGTCTCATGGGTAATTTTTATATCTATACTTACCGCTGAAATATTTTTTATAAAAACATAATAAAAAAATATAAAATCGAATAAAAACATAATATTTTATTATATTTTTATAAGAATTTATACAATCTACATCGAAGACAAAATTTGGAGAAAGAAGCCACCCACTGATGACACTTTCGACTTGGTTTAAATCTTTTGTGATTTAATTATATTAGTAGTTTTTTTTTTTTATTATTATTATTAAAATTCAGGTTCAAGTGCTCGAGATTCAAAAATTCAAAAAACTGTTTTTTTCAATTTTTTCTTTGCATTACTACTACATAATAATTGTTTTTAAAATCTTCTAAAATGTTTTGTTCGCTTTAATAA